TGTGGCAGGTGAGTCTCAACAAGAATAAATTCCTTACTAGTTTCTTTGTTAGGCATATATACACTTATTCAATAAAGTTGAGGAGCATGAAGATTTAAAACATTTCCTTACATTTTGCCTCATTATTTAAATGAATTTTCTTAAATACCAATAAATAATAAGACCCAAACTTTCTTTCAAAGTTGTTCTCCTCTGAAGAAGGAAAGTTGTTTGAGAGGTTAACATGAAAACTACAAGAATATGAAGCAAAGAGCCCGTGGCTTTAGCAAACATACCAACGAAAAAACCTCATGCCAACTTTTCCTTGGACTCTTTTGAACCAACCTCCTACGTATAATTGTTGTTATCATGCTTAGTCAAAGGGAATAAATCCATCAATGTAGCTATCACATGTTGGAATGAAGAGGAGACTGTTTGTCAAGATTTGCCATATCGAAACAAAAACATCGGAGGAGGAGTACTGTGTGAATTATTTTTACCCCAACGCACAAATGCTATGAAAACCCTACGTAGGAGGTCTAAATGAAAACCAGAGGCCTACGAACGGCAACACGGGCTCAAAGTTTTGTCGTGGAGTGCTTGTTTCTTTCATTTATCTCTGGATGCTTTTTGCCTTATCTACTACGCGTCGACCTCAATACTATTCTCGATATCTTACTTTTGGGCAAACGAGTATTGAGATGGGGAAAAAAAAGAAATTCCTATAGAGAGTGATCGACGAAAACTTCAAAACGCATGTGAGTTAAGAGACTAATTTCTAAAACCCTTGTAAGGTAATTATTTTACGATCTGATTGATATTAGTTGCACTGATATTATATACTGATTATACCGTTTTAGACCTAATGATGAAATGCATACCATATGATGTCGGAGTTTCCCCCCTAGAGACTACCTTAAAAATAGAATCACCTTTCAGTTTCAATTTATGCATAAACTGCTTTTAAAGAGGGTTTTTGTTCCAATCAATCACGTCTAAGTCAAAATTTTCACTGAAAATCAAAAAATACCCTTAAAAACTCATATTTAAGACACACGGCTCACTTTGTTAATGTTTGGTCTAGTTAGAATACAAGTCACATATCATAAGCTTGCATGTTCTAAGGTTATGTTCGATTTTTTAGTAAATATTTGGCTAGGATGTGATTGTTTGAAATAAAATCCACTTTAAAGATGGTTTACGTATAAATTAAAGTAAAAGGCGGTTTCTATAAAATGATTCTATTTTAAAAGGTGGTTTCTAGTAAAAAAATCATGTTATGGTGTTTTTAATCGCCAAAGTGGAGTCCGTTGCTAGCAAAGGACGAGTGTACTTCTGCATGCAATGCCCCAATCAAATTGGCGGCCAAGACCAGCAAGGATCTCGACTTAGCCGACTCGACGAGTCGACGTCCCCGTATGTCGATTCGAGAGGTGGTGTTTGTCGGTCCTCTTGTCGAAGACAACTCGCTACGAGCCCACTCGACCAATTAGTTGACTCCCCTCGTGAGGTTGACTCGAAAGACGTTACTTCTCGGCCAAGCTAAAGGACTTCAACCTCGACCCTCTCCCACTGACAACGTGTCAGCATCACATTTAATGCTTGGCAGACACCATCATGCCTCTGGCCCCAATAGTCTTCATGACTTATCGGACCACGTCGGCACCGTCATGCCCCCGATCACTTCATATTTAATGCAGAAATGATCTCTCCATCACTCGTCGAGCGACACCTGTAAAGTAGGTGCTGACGCAGCCGTCAGCCCATACTTCTTTACCGTCATCCTGTGCTCGGTCGAAGTGATAGTTCTACCCTTATACTACCAGTATAAATAGAGATACTATTTTAACCTAGCGGGATTTCTAATCTTCAGGGATCTAATCTCTGATCCAAGTGATTCTGAGCAATTCCACTACACACAAGAACTCTCACAGTTTTTTATTTCCCCACTCAAGTTCACTAGCTGACTTGATCGTCGGAGGAACCACAGGGGAACCAAGCCCCATCCTCTTATGAACTGTTATGTGTGCAGGCTTCAGCTACTCAACTCATAACCAGATATTCGGGGAAGGAAACAACCTCTCATCAATCTTACCCCATCACAAATATTTGACTGTTTGGTTACCCCTCATCAATAGTTTGGTGCCCACCTTTGGGCCTTCTTTCTTTTTTGAAAAAACATGTCTGGTTCTGAGAATATGGCTGATCAGTCTCGCCCTGAAGGACCACACCAGAGCTACGTTACTCAAGCTCAGCTTGAAGAAACGACTCAGCAGATTTCTCAATCTCTCTAGCAGTAACTCGTTGTCTTCTTCCCATTCCTGGAGTCAAAGGCAGGGAGCTACTGACAGCACCCGGTGGAGCAGTCAAGCAGTCTCCTTCATTCGACTTCCCTTCTTCCTTGTCAAGATCGAGTCCTCCTCCAAGTGCTTCCACCTCCACCAACTCATTCAAACACTTGACCACAATGGGAGGATAGTGGAAGCGATCGGGTAGGTTCCTCATCTCGACTGGGAGTTGCGCCGAGAGGTAGTCGTACCCGGCCTTGTAGTCTATTTCCACTTCATTTTTTTCTAGTTAGGCTCTGGCGATACCCCTTAATGATCTCATGCGGTAAGGCTCCGACTCGAGGTGGGCGTAGAATACTTCAATGTAGTGTCAAATCGTCGCCATAAAGTAGTCCAAAAAGTCACCAAGAACCTAGTATCCCTATCTGAAATAATCGAACTGGGAACACCATGTAGCCGAACCATTTCTTGAAAGAACAGCCATGCAACATATGGTACATCCGAAGTCTTGTGGCATGGAATGAAGTGAGCCATCTTAGAAAATCGATCCACTACCACGAAGACTGAATCCACGTCTCTTTGTGTTCGGGGAAGTCCCAACACAAAGTCCATACTCAAATCTTCCCAAATAGCCTTAGGCACAGGTAGAGGAGTATACAAACCAGTATTCTGCACTTGCCCATTTGCAACTTGGCACACTTGACGACTCTTCACAAGTGCCGCCACATCCTTCCTCAAACTCGGCCAATAGTGTCTCTCCTCAAGACTCAAAACAGTCTTGTCTCGCCCAAAGTGTCCACCAAGTCTGCCACCA